TTCATCTTCATCTCGCAGATGTCCCGAGATTCAAGCGTGCATCAGTTCTCTGTTGTGGTGCGACGGTATCCGCAACTGTCCCTCGGGCTTCGACGAGGAGGAGGACAACTGTTCGTACCGTTTCGGCGTGACGTTGCTGTACGTGGCTATAGGCGCCGGCGCCCTAGGTATATTCCTGATCCTGTTGCTCGCCACCGGTTGCCTCAAGTACTGCCTCTATCGGCACAAGGCTCGCAAGAAGAAGAAGAACGTCGTCCTGAACGTGAATCACCTCCACGTGAATCACACGCACCACAACAACGGCCTGACCGGAAGTCGCTTGAGCGGCCGCTACAATCTCGCCACGCCGCAAGAGATGTATCTGGAGAACTACGGGAAGGACAGTATTTGTTGACAATACGCCATTGCCAATATCGAGACCACCGTGTGAATATTGCAGGATTTAAAAGAGAGAGAAAATACGCCTACCTCGCTGGCCTCTTCGATCCACACCTCCCTCCTCCCCCACAATAATCCCCTCAACAATCACCTCTCGCGTAAAGAACGGAAGCGAACGACGGAACGGGATAGCGCGATAAGCAACAACAACAAAGAGACAAACAATATGTACGCAATAATCGTATTCAACTCTCGTAGACCAATTCTCGAAGGCGTGAAAGGAGCGAGTTACGGATTCTTTCGAAAGTCTCGACCACGATCCACGATTTGTCTCGAAGCCAGCAGTGTGTGTGTGTTCGATTCGGCAGGAGAAGAAAAGGGGGTTGAGGGCTACTTCAGTCTTTTTTGGATCAATGGGACTAAGGATCGCGAGGTCTCGAGTCTTCCGGACGTAGAAATGGACGAAGAGTGGATCGAATCGACGAAGAAGCGTTGCCGAACAATTCGTGCAGCACGTGGTTTATCACGGCTGATGCCGCCGTATATCACAGTATAGCACTAGGAACACACGATTTCCCCCCCCCCTTTTTTTTTTTTTTTTTTTTTTTTTTAGATTAAAGCAACGCGTGGCGACGGTGACAAACAGAGAAAAAATTACAACTGCCGGGGGAAAGAAGAGAGGAAGAAAAAAGAAGAAGTATCAGCATGGCTGATGCGTACGAATATATGCTTTTAAAATGAAGTAGGAATCTGTAATTTGCATCGAGAGAGAGAGAGAGAGAGAGAG